ATTTTTATAGGTTGAATTTACATAATTTCAGGTTTTGAATGTGAGATTTATTTAGTTTAGAAACTTAAATTGGAATGATGGATTTTTATAGGTTGAATTTACATAATTTCAGGTTTTGAAAGTGAAGTAAAAAGTGTTTTGGGCTTGTTCATAAGAACTGAATAGGTTTTGGCAATTTGACAACAAAAAAAGGGTTTTGGGGTTGAAAGTGAATCTGAGTTGGGCTTTGTTTTGCTAAAAAAAAATGATTTGGGCTTTTTTTTTTGGCTGAAAATAAATACGATTTGGGCTTTTTAAAATGGTAAAAATGGGCTCAGGCCCAAACCGAACAGAACTGGAATCGACCTGAGAACCGAGCCCATTTTCGGTTTGGCCCATTTTCGAGTTTCTCCCTAGACCCGACTCGAACCGAGAACTGAACTCTCCTTCGGTTTGGCCCGCGGGTCGGTCAAAATTTGACCCGACCCGAACCGTGCGCAGGCCTATTAATTGGTATAACCAATATCCTTGGCTTGAGTATTCTGTTAATAAAGATAAAGTGTTTTGTTTTCCATGCTTTCTTTTTGACTTTGATCACTCACATAAGGCATTCACTGTAGAAGGATTTAGAAATTAGAGAATAGTTTGTGGCAAAGAGTGTGCTTTCCTTACTCATGTAGGCATTATAAATTCATCACATCATTTTGCTATCCAAAAGTGGATGGATTTAAAGAACCTGACTCACCATATTGATAGAGTTGTGCAACCCCCACAAGAAGTTGCGAAAAAATAGGTTGAGGCTTACAACCACAATAGAGGCCATTAGGTATCTAGCAAATCAAGGAATGGCTTTTAGAGGTGATGATGAATCTCATGACTCCTCTAATCGGGGTAATTTTATTGAGTTGGTAAAGACTTTTGCAAGAAGGAACGAAGAAGTTGAAAAAGTTGTGTTACAAAATGCTCCTCTAAATGCCCAATATATTTCACATAAGATACAAGAGGAGATCCTAAATATCTACGCTAACAAAGTGAGGAAAAAGATACGCGATGAAATTGGGGAAGATGTGAAATTTTGTGTTCTCATTGATGAAGCACTTGATGATTTTAAGAAGGAACAAATGGCTATTATCATAAGGTTTGTTAGTTGTGATGGGCATATTCGAGAAAGGTTTTTTGATATTGTGAGTGTTCATGACACTAATTCCTCAACTCTTAAAAGTGATATTTGTAAAGTGTTTAGTAAACATAGTCTTTTAGTAAGCAATATGCGTGATCAAGGATATGATGGTGCAAACAATATGCGTGGTGAATGAAGTGGCTTACAAGCATTATTTCTCAATGATTGTCCATATACATATTATATTCATTGCTTTGCTCATCACCTTCAATTAGCTTTAAACGTTACTGCTAAAGAGGTAGGACTTGTTTGGAGATATTTTTCAATGTTGAATAACATTGTGAATTTTTTTGGTGCTTCTGCCAAATGACAATCTGAGTTAAAATTAACCCGACAAGCTGAAATTGAAGACTTATTAGCAGCTGGAAGACTTGGAACAGGTAAAGGGGCTAATCAAATTCGATGTCTATAACGACCTGGAACTACTCATTGGGGCTCACATTTTAGTTCGATTAGGAATTTGATTGATTTATTTGGTACATCCAAGACACTTCTAAAGGATATCAGTCATAATGGACCTACCTCACAATTTCATGGGGAAGCAGAAGGTATTAGAATTTCTATGTTATCTTTTGACTTTGTCTTTGCCTTGAATTTGTTGGACAAAACTATGAGATTCACTGATTTTCTTTGTCAAGAACTTCAAAGAAAATCTCAAGACATTGTAAGTGCTTTGAATTTGGTTGCAAGTACAAAAATGGAGCTTGATGAGTTGAGAAACAATGGTTGGGATGACTTTATACAAAGTGTACGATCATTTTGTGAAAAACATGAAATTAGTATGCCTGATATGGGTGCCCGTCATACAATGAGAACTGGGAGTTCTTGTCAACAAAAAGATTGTATCACAGTGGAGCACTATTATCATATGGATGTATTTAATGAGGTAATAGATTATCAGTTGGGGGAGTTAAATACTAGATTTTCATATGAAACTATGGAACTCCTTCGTCTTAGCTCATCATTGGATCCCCGTGATGCTTTCAAGCGATTTAACATTGATGATATATACACTATTGCTGAGAAATTTTATCCTTAAGATTTCACTACAACTGAGTTGCAGGCTTTAAATCAATAACTGAGATTTTATAAGATTGACATGGATCACAATCCAACCTTCAAGAATCTTGATTCTATTCCTATATTACTTGAGAGCTTAGTGGAAACAAGATTAGCACAAACCTACTACTTAATTGACAGATTGATTCGTTTGGTGCTAACTCTTCCTGTTTCTACAGCAACAACAGAATGAGCATTTTCTTGTATGAGATTGATCAAAAATCGGCTTCGAAACAAGATAGGTGATGAATTTCTTGTTGATTGTATGTTACTTCACATTAAAAGAGAATTTGCTAATAATATAGATAATGAATCGATAATTAATGATTTTAATTCTATGAAGACTCGAAGGGTGCAACTTAGATAGTGTTGTTTGAGAGGTAAGGCTCATTATGTCCCTTGTTTGAGTAGATGTATTATTAATTTTTTGTTATCAATGAAATTACATCGTACTATCGGGTTTTCTATCTATTTAGTATGTTTATATGTAAGGTAAATTTAGCCCAGTCAAGTTTGAAATCCTGGGTCCGTCCTTTTTTGTGAGAGTTACATGAGACTCAAATAACCAGTGATAATACACATGATTAGATATATGATATTTAACAATGATGACTAGAAGCGAAACCATGCCCATTAGGGGGACAATGTTCACGTGAAGGATATTGATGCCCTTAGCCCTCACTAGATAGAATCAAGGGAACAAGATGTGATACAAATAGATTAAGTTCACAAGAATTGGTAGGAAAAGAACTATGATAAGTAGAAAAATTTAATACTCAAGAGGATTCTCATACGCATGAGTATACATAACATTATTATATTTTTTTTCAATTTTCCACTTTTCCACAACCACATGTACAACCTATTAGAGTTACCAACCATTTCCCATTCACTTCTAGTTGACAGCTCCTGCTCTACCTCATAACTTATCTTCCATATCACTTTTCCACCTCCAGCAGGTCCGTTGTTCTGTACTCTTCTCCCTCATTCCCTTGTTCATACACTACTCTTACAATTTCCTTAATTTACATTTTGATATATAGCACCTGCTGATCCTCTTTGTGCTTTAGCTACTTTGGTGCTTAACATCAAAAATAGTATTCGGGTTAGATACTCAGTTTAATTGCATGTCTCTTCATCACATGTTAGAGACTCAGTTTATGATTTGCTCTTAACTTAAACCAAAAAGGAAAAAGAAATATAAGTTTATTATGTACTTTTATCACCGTAAATCATTGCAACATGCAAAATCATTATACTAATGGGGCCTTGGTAAGTTAGATACTTGCAAGTCCCAAGTATTTCATAGAATATATGATGCTAAAACTAGCCTCAACATGAATTAATGATTAAGCATCCTCAAGAATTTCTTTTGTCTTTGAGAGATAACTTAATACATTTTGTAATCCAACATCAACAACAGTATCCAGGTTAGATATTCACTTTCATTGCATGTCTCAAAAAATTCAATCTCATGCCTATTCCCGTCGCTTAGATATTTTAGGTAAACAACCCTAAATAATAGAGGTGCAATAACATAGTGCAATAGTGCTTTGGTGAACCAGTTGTCTCGACCAACTAAATGTATTTGGTTAGTTACTTGAATCTTCCCTCTATAAATTGAGGAATTCCTCATACATTTGAGAAGCGAAAAATGAAAAGTTTAAAACTAGAATTGAAATCCTAAAAATAATTACAATTACATTATATTTTTGTGGTGCTTTCACATCCACTCTATCTTATAACATAAAAAAAACACCTTATTTGTTGCTTTTCTTTATTATTTATTTTCAAATTTTTATAACACCAAACATAGTTAGAAATCGACTGCAAGGGAGTGACTTGAAACTGCCGAACAAAACCCAATCAACTATATGGCACAAACACGAATACGTGACAAGGGACATGAGGAAACAACAAATCTCAAAAAATTAAGACATGAACATGGACAAGGAAATTAAAAAAAATTAATTTATAATAATACTTACATATATTTAAAAAATATAAAATATTGAAGTTCATACTCCAATTTCATAATACCATAGATAGTGAAATTCGAACTTTCCAAGTCTTTCAAATATAATTTATTAATTTTATATGAATTATAATTGAATTAACACATTAGTTTAGTACATATATATATATATATTATATGTAAATATATAAATATTCGCTGGGTATGGGTTAAAAGAGTTTTTGTTAGCCAACGATGGTTAGTTGAGTATGTAAGGATCGTTTTCTTCACTATCTATGCATAGGTTTGAGTCCCGCTGCCGACAATTCATCTTAGTGGGTAATTTATAAAACCAAAAAAAGACTAAGACCCCCTCTATAAATCCTTAAAGATTGGTATGCCCTAACCATGAGATGAGGTGGCATCCTTCCCCCTAAACTTTTTGTAACCCAAAAAAGAAAAAAAAGTTTTTGTTTGTTGGATAATCTTATATTTTATGGCCCATAGGACAAAGTTTATAATTGGCCTTGCAAGCCCATTAAAACCCACGGAACATGAAGAAGCATCCAAAAAAAAATGAAGACGCATAAAAAAAAAAATGAAGACGCAGTACTGAACAGAGTTGGCAAAAAAACAAGTATTGAACCGTGAATCGAAGCTCAGTCGCACGAAGAAGGTTCCAGAGACGAGGTTGCAGAAGAAGGAGGTGAACGATTTTGAGTGGCCAATCGACGAATTGAAGGTGTTGAATCACCGGCCCTTAATTCACTCATTGTGAATTCCCTTCTTCTTGTTTCAGCAGCCGTACCTATAAAGCGAAGATTCAAATTACTCAAGTCTTAAACATCTCACTTCATTATGGCTTCCAACAAAGTTATCATGGTGTGAACCTTACACATACTTAGTTTCTATGCTTCTGTCTGTGCGTGCCCTGTAATTTTGTTTTGATTCTCATTCTCTTTGAGCTTTTACTTGTGGCAGGTCGCAGAGAAGCCTAGCATAGCTCTTTCTATAGCCTCTGTTCTCTCCCGTGGTCAAGTAAGCTCCTCTCTCTCTCTCTCTCTCTCTCTCTGGCAGACAGTCACACGTACACATATTAAAACCCTACCTCCTAAGCTCCAAATAAGGGACTATTTGAGTGCTAATAAAATATTGGAAGCAGCAAAGAAGCTGGAACTTGGAATGTTTTTAGTATTTTCAATTTATTATTTGGATTAGGAGTGAACTCAAATAGAAATGAGAGCTGGGCAATCCCCATTTTTTCTGTTTCTTCTGTTTTTTGTTTTTTGTTTTTTGGTTGAAGAACTTGGTGATTGAGTTTCGTTGTTCTTGGGAAGATATGAACTGGACGTTGGAATTAATAGGATGATTTGGTTCCCAAGGGGGTGCTTAGTTCTTTCATGAAGTAGATAATTTGTATTCTAAGGACGATTATGAGATGCTTAGCTTGGATTTTGGTTATGGGGATATGGTTACAGAAATCAGAGGTTAAGCCAGCGGTTCCATTCTATTTATTTTGGATGACCATTTGTCTTGAGAGATAAACAGAAGTGCTTCCTACAGAAGCATTCCCAAATGGGTCCATCCATATACACCCATACCAAGAGTTTACTAGCATCAAGAGAGAACAAAGACTTAATAGTAATACTAATATGGACGATGCAAATAAGGTTCTTGATTGAAATTAGGACAGGAAATAATAATTCTTTGGTTTGGAAATTTGCTTTTCTCTTGAACCTCTTGTAGCATGTATCACTTAGGCTCATTTTTTCTTTTTCTGCACTTCTCTATTATAAGTTCTGGTTGTTGGATTCATAAATCCATGTTTTGCATAATTGAATTATATTGACATTCAGCTTGTATTTGCATAGTACAGATGTCTACAAGAAAGGCTAGTACGGATGTCCATGAATTTGAGGGAATGTTTCTTGGGTTTCATGTGCATTTTAAAGTGACATCGGTTATTGGGCACGTTTTCAGGTTAATTTTTCTCTCATCTCTTGAACAAGATAGACAAGAAAAAGCATTATTAGATACTGTCTCTGGTTATATGATGTGATATTGGATTCAACTTTGTCTTTAACAATGTCATTGTGTCAAATATTAAATGGCCTTTAGATTAGTGTTGCCTTTGTCTTTATTTCTGCCAATTGAATTTTCACATCCATGTGTGCGGGATCTCATTTTATGTTTATGAATATTTATATACATTAGTTAGCTCGTTTACCTTGTGCCTTTTACTTTTGTTCTTTGCAAAGATCTGTGTATCTGTGTCTATTTTTTTGGGTAAGCATTTGTCATCTGTAAACAATATCCTTCTTTATATTCCTGGTCTCTGGTCCATTGCTATATGGATGCAACTCCTCAGTAGGTTATGGGTAGGTTCAGGTGACAAGCTTAGGTTGACATGCTATAAATGCACCTCAATTAAACATTCTTGAAGTTGTTATACCTAGACTCAACTTGTTTTCGGATGGTTTTCTCCTTGTTGATTATAAAGCTCTCGCCTTTGTTCTCATCTCATGGACCAGTATATGTGATACATTGCTCCCGAAGCTATCACCTTTGAAATCTAGCAATCCTTCACAAGAGTAAATTGTCAATGTTATATGGTATAATCGTCAAGCTTTAGGCTTAAGTTGAATAGTTTGTTTGGTACATTTCTAACTTAGTGCCGCTGTTTCTTTCAAAATCTAGTGTAGATTTTCCTGAAAAATATCAAAATTGGACAACCACTGATCCTCTTGATCTTTTTCAAGCCCCAATTCAAAAGACAGAAGCAAATCCAAAGGTACAACTCTTTTTTTCCCCTGCTTCCTTTTTTCTTTATTTTTATACCTCTTTCCTTTGATTCTTATGCCATTTGTTGTGACAAACTTTACCTGTTAGGGTTTTCTTAGTTTATTCATTAGTAAATATTGGCAATTGACCTTGGTGTAAAGGCTCATATTCGCAGGCATCTAAGCCAAGAAGCTCGTGGTTATGGTAACTTGGTTTTATGGTTGGATTGTGATCGTGAAGGGGAA